CGACGCGAGCCCGGTCTTAGGTAGTCCACCCACTCGTCAGTCGTTTGCTCTCTCGGTTTCGTCTTCCCCGCTCTCCCTCCCTCTCACCGCCCTTCCCCCCCCCCCCCTCCCCCCCAATCGTCCACCAATCGAGATATCCTTTTTCCTGTTTTTTAAATAATAACTGGCCCATCTTCTTTTTCTTTTCTTTCTCTTCTACTTCATTTGGTCACACCAACCCCGACCACTTGCATGAAAGCAAAAGGACGTTCAGAGGGCCGGGGGGGGGGGGGAGGCGGAAGAACCTCTAAAGACAGCGAGCTTGATTATGTTCAATACACAGACAGAAAGACAGACGTAGCAAGGACAAGGCTTAACCAGAGCGAGAAGAATAACTTACCCCTCAGCTGTTCAGCAGACAAACAAAGAACATATCAAAACATACAAAAGGCAGGCGAAAACTTGTGCCAATTATCTTGCTACGTCATTTCTCCTCGCTACGTCCGCCTTTCTGTCTCTGGTGCGAATCGCTGTCTCTCTTCCAGATGGCAAACTTAGAAGCCTAGATGGCCGACACAGCACACATCATGGACAAGGAAAAAACATATATCCTTAAAAAAAAAAAAAAAAAAAAAAAAAAAAGCCTAAATGGCCGACACAGCACATCATGGACAGGGAAAAAAAAAAATATCCCCCAAAAAAAAAAAAAAAAAAAAAAAAAAAAAAGCATACATCAACTTCGGAGGAACTCACCAGTCCTGTCTCGAGGCGAGCTTTGTACACTCGTCCAAAGCCTCCTTCCCCGATCAGACAGTCCGAGCGGAAATTGCGAGTGGCGATCATAAGCTCCTTGAACGTGAACGGCTGCGCACCGGTGTGAATCGGCGGCCCATCGTAGCCAAGCCTACCGCGCATGCTGTTGCGGCTGCGTCTCCTCTCCCCTCCTGCTCCCAAGAGTCGCCCAGCCCACTCCCCCTTCCTCCCCCCCTTCCAGGTCAGAATCGACACACGAGTTTGTGAACAGTCTGGTAGTGTTTTGAAACAGATTACAAACCTGTCTCTTATACACATCTAGATGTGTATAAGAGACCGGCCCCAAGCAATTCATTAGTAGTTGGTTTTACTCGTCAAGTTCCATC